GTGTGCTTAACCTGCAGGGTAACCCCTTCCCCATGTCAAGGTTCTCAGGAATGAGAAGGTTGCTTGGTGAGCTCAGAAGCTGGAGGAGGCGAACATTCTTAAAGGATATTTCCTCAAAACCCATGAAATTATTCTTGCCCTCAATAGGTTTCACCTTTCCAGGGACCAGAATATTCTGATTTCATCCATAGATAGAGCTGGATGAATAGACTGTGATAGATTGTGCACTCCAGGTTCCTTTTTTTTTAAAAAAAACAAAACTCCATTTTGACAATCACACCTCTGTAAATGCATTCTTTTAAATATTTATTTGTTTATTTAGTAGGTAATTCATTCACATGTTCAAAATTCAAAAGTACAATAGGGTATACAGTGAAAAATCTCCCTCTTGCCCCTGTCCCCCAGTCACTCAGATCCCACCTTATGGATAATTTGTGTTATCAGTGTCTCGTGTATCCCTCCAGAGACATTTTATTAATGAGTCCAAATAACACTTTTTTAAAACTTGCATCATTCTTTAACTACATTTCAGTCATGAGAATATACTTTAGCCACCTTGTTCAAACTTGAGTAATCCCATATTTTTTCTGATTTAATTTGACAGATATCCTGTCCCCTAAATTATATGTACAAATGTCTTTTAGAATGGGTGGCCTCAGCAGATAGCCAATGTAATCCATTGTGTGTGTGTGTGTGTGTTACCAGTTTCAGAGAGTAGCTAAATCTCTAAGTCCTAGGAATATGTTATAGTTGCTTTCTATGTACAGATTCTCATGTCAACCATGATAGTAAAATAATGAATTCTTACAATAGGCTCTTTTGTCATTCATTTTCTTGACCCAAAGACTTTACTAGCTTTTTGTTTTATTTTAATCTCAGGACACATTTCAGAAACGCTGTACTTTGTTGGTTGGAACCAGGTAGAGTGGGCCTATCCCCAAAGCAAGAGTGATGAAGGAAAAATTGGAGAGCAGAATCATTTGCCATGCTTCTGATGTGTTTCCTATTCCTCGTCCTTTACCGGCATGCTGCCATAAATCATGCCTCTAGATTAACCTGTAAGAGTAAACTACTATTAGACTTAAATACGCATAACCATTAATTATGAGACCACCAAGATCCTAAAATTATTGGTTCAGTCAAAGTTACTAGTGTTACACTAGCCTATTGCCAATGAGGGAGAAGAAGGCAAGAGTTCGCAATCTATTCTATTTCTTCTTTAAAAAGTAGCAACTGAAGACCAAGGAATTGCCAGGTATCACCATGGATGCTTTGCAGAGTTGGCCCAATGTTAAACAAACCAATATGGAAGACTTGTGCTTCTGATTGATGAGGTCAATCTAAAACTTTTTCCAGAATTTTTTCAAGGGCAAAAAATAAATCAGACAGGAAAAGGCAGGGAGTGCTTTGATTTGCTTTTATAGCAGTAGGACTGGTTTAGGTAGCTCTGTCCACACACTTCCCCTGGATTCCAGGAGATAAGGGTATGTTCTATGGCTATAATGAGTTTTTCTTTATATAAAACTTAATGACACCCTGGCCTCACCAAGGCACTCCCAATTCTTATATCTGCAAAATTAAAACAGTGTGTGCCATGAGTGATATGAGGATGTCCTCACATCTCAGACAGAAATGGTATAGGGTGATGTCAATACCATGTGTGATGTGTACTTACTGTACTCTTAAATTGAGGAGGAGCCCATCTCTGGCCACCCTATGTACACTGACAGAATTAGACCTTAGAGGTGGCTGCATTTAATTGTTGAGAGAAGGTACTTTTTAAATTTTGAAAAATGATCTCCCAATGCTTTCACTAGACGTGTGACAGCTTCATTTGAAAGGTGGAGGAATTTGGTTCCAGGTCACACAGCAAGTTAGTAGCATAGCTAAGATATGAACCAAGACTTACTGACTCCCTTCACTCTATTATCACATTTAGAGGGCTCCTTATTTTCAGAGCTGGTAAAATATTACCTCCTATTCAGATAGCTCTTAGTGTCACACCAAGTTCTGCATGTACAATCTCTCCTTTTGGCCCCTCAATGACTCTGTGTGCTAGGGACAATAAATGCAATTGTTCTCCCTTTGAGGATAAGAAGATTGCAACTCAGGAAGACACATAGTAGTCTATAACAGAGTGAAGACTAGCAACCAGCTCTCCCAACTCTCTCTGCGCTAGTCTTTCCACCATGCCATCCTGCCTGTCTGTGCCTTTCATCCATGAACTCTGGAAAACAAGTTTGCGACACGAGAATTTAAGACAGCTCATTAAAAACAATTACATATTTTGTAGGTATAAAAATGAAATACTCAGATCTTTCCGCCCCCTCTCCTGCTAGGAATTTAAACGTTACACTGAGTCCTCTAGTTTTGCACATTCCGCAGCAATTAAGACTTTGTTAGGGAACTACTTTTCTAACAAATGTATCCTAATCAAATTGAAACAAAAAATTAAATACATGAAATGGAAGGGAAGAAACTGTCTGTAGTCCTCCCTTATTTCTGGCCCACATTTGTCTCTATTCCCATGATTTTCTCAAGCCAGGGGCACATGGCCAAAGACTATTGAAACCCCAAGGACTCCGAAGAAAGCCTAACAGCCTAGTGGGTGGAGAGCGCAGCCCGCCGGGGAGCGGATGACCTGAGTTCCAGACTTAGGCCCCTCCAGTCTCAAATCTGTGTTGCCCTAAGAAGCCACCTAAATTTCGGGTGGTTTCGTTCACTGTAAGATGAAGGGGCTGAGTCAGTGCACACGGATGAATTTAAACGCTCTGCATACTTAAATCCATGAATGTAAACTTAAAACAATATCTGTGTATACTATTAGCTTTCCTTCGTCAGAAGGCGCGTCCTCCGACCCTTCCCTGAGACACCAGCGGCCTCCTCGCGCAGCGCAGTACAAGCCAGTCGTTGGACCCACAGGCTACGAAGGGTCCAGCGCCGCACCCTCGCCCGGCGCGCGGCCCGCACCCGCTCCCCCAGCGCGGGCGCCCCCACCTGTGCCGGCAGCCAATGGGAGCGCAGGGCAGTCGGGGCGGGGCGGGGCGAGGCTACAAAAGGCCGCGCGCGGCGCCCCCCGCTGCAGGCGCGCTCTCGGGAGGGTCGGACGCAGGCGGCGGAGCAGCAGGAACATTACGCTCGTGGACCAGCAGGGTGCGGACGATGCTTCGGGTGCGGTGTCTGCGCGGCGGGAGCCGCGGCGCTGAAGCGGTGCACTACATAGGTTCTCGGGTGCGTGCGCTCGCCCGCCTCCTCCGGCGGCTTCTTGCTCTCCCGCTCTCGTTCCTTCGCTTTCCTCCGCCGGCATTGCATGACAGTGTCCCCGTGATCCCCCTAGGAAGCTCGGCTTCAAGATCCCTTGCTGGCTGCCGGGAGCTTGGCGGTGTCCCCGGGGAAGGTGGGGCATGCGTTGGGGCCACACCCGCTGGGTACAGTTACTCTGCGCCTCTCCTGCCGCGGCTGCCATCAGAGCAGGGGACGCCACCCTCCCCAGCCTGACCTCGGTTGCTCCACGGAGCTTTCAGCACGGGGTGAGGGGTTGGAGGCGACAAGTAACACCACTTAGCAAAAGGGTGGCGTTATTGGCGTTCATTGCCCGGAGAGGACACAGAGTTGGGCATGCGTGTGGGGTGAATGGACGGGGTTGGGCTTGCAAAGTGGGAAGCGGGGTCAGGCCCACTCCAAGTGTAACGTGGAGTCCTGAGTCGCGAGAGGAATTGGAGCGAGTTTGGTCTGTACCCAGCGTTTCTGCCTCGTCCCCGCCCTCCCCTTCCCTGGTCTGTAAGCACGTGCCTGGAGACCCTCCCTAGCTCCTAGGACAGGAATAGCAGGGCTGTTTGGCTCCCCCCCCCCCCCCGCAACCAGCAACTGGTTCCAGGACAGCTGGCACTCTCCCTCTTGCTTTGGTCCCTACCCTGGCTCCCCTCCTGCCTCCTTTCTGAGGCTTTTAACAGAATAGGATAAAGATTTGGGGCGGGGTGGAGGGGGTGGGGGGAGGAGGTTGGCGTTGGCCCAGCGGGTGAGAGACTCACCCCGCTCTAGATTTTTATAAGCCCTGCATTTTCAAAAGGCTTTTTTGAAGTTCTTAGATCTCCTTTCTAGTTGTTTAAATTTGTGCCAGAGTTAATCCTGATCTTGGCTGGGGTACTGTGGACCATTCGTAAAATGGAGCAGATGGCACTGGGGCACTCTCAGAATTGAAGTGCCAAAGAATCTGAAGCATGTCTCAGCAACGAAAAACTTTTGGTTTGAAGCTGATTATTCTGAAAGATAAGGTCCTTTACAAATGCTTCCACATTTTCATTTGGGGGGGAAAAAAGCCTAATATTGGTAACCTTTGATCCTGAGGGGTAAAGGAGCCTCCCTCCCCCAGCATAACTTGGCAGGGAGACCTGGAACAGCTTTGTGTGGTTTTCTGGGAAGAGGGCGACCCGTCATCTGTGGAAGAGTTAATTAAAGCTTGATTGCCAAAAACCATTCTGAGATATAAACGGGGGTGCATGTTCATTGGGGACAAACACGTCTGAGGGGCTTTAGAGAGTTATGGCAATTAACATAATAGATAAAAAGATAATGTATAAATAAACAAGAAGGTAAAACTCACTTGTAACTCCATTACCCACCTATCTATATCTAGGTTTACCTTCTCCTAACGGATTTTAAGTGTCTGACTATGTTATCCTGGGTTTTCATCCCACCTCTACTTCCTTCTCGCCACAAGGATTGTGTAGGACTACACAATAATCTTTTCTTTGTTCTTGAAAGCTTGGAAGAACCTTAACAGGATGGGTGCAGCGAACTTTCCAGAGCACCCAGGCAGCTACAGCTTCCCCCCGGACTTCCTGTGCAGCTGATGACAAGGCCACTGATGATCTTCCCAAAGACTGCCCTGTCTCCTCTTACAACGAATGGGACCCCTTAGAGGAAGTGATCGTGGGCAGAGCAGAAAATGCCTGTGTTCCCCCATTCACCGTGGAGGTGAAGGTAAAGCAAGGCTGTTCATGTGGCGAAGCGGGCCCCCTGACCTGCAGTCTGCCTTCTGCTCCCACTCTCCTCTCTAACTGCTGTCACTTTACTTACTTCGGACCTCCCAAATCCAGTGGTTGATTTTAAGTTGTCTTACTTGAAACATCTAGTATTTGACACTATTTACACAAATGAGACTTCTTCCTTTGGATTCTGAGACACCGTTTCTGGGTATGTTAGTTCTTTCAGTATTCCTCACACCTTCCTGCACTGTCTGTGGTGCTGGGGTTGAACAGAATTTCACTTTTGGCCCTCTTCTCTTAGCTGTTCTCACAACTGCAGGTCCCACCGCCACTCTGGTTCACATCTCTCTCCTGAACTCTGTCCAGATCAACATGTTAAACTCCTGAGTGGATATTGCCACGGGCTTATCTTGAGTTCAGCCGCCAGCCACTGCTAAACTGGACCCTTCTGCCTGCTTTCCTTTCAGTTTTTGGCATTCCTATTTACTCAAACTAAAACAGCAATGAATCATCTATTTCTCCTTCAGTCACATCCTCCACATCCGTTCTCTAAAATGGAACAAGTCTTTTGCCAAAATGAACCTTTCCTCCATCCCTGTGCCACTCCATTAGGTCAGAATCTCATCTGCCTGGACTATTGCAGTTAACTCCTAACTGGTCTCCCGCATTCGCTCTTCTCTCCAAACCTTCCAGCTTTTATCAGAGTGATGTTTTTAAACCAAAATTTGATTATGTTACTCATCCCTCTCCTATCACTCCCCTATTTTCCAACCCCTAACACCTACTGCTTAGGATTCCTCATGGTAATCAAGATCCTTCATAATCTGGCTCTTGTCTGCCTTGCCAGGACTCCCCATTTCAATCGCTGGATCATCGTAGAGGTATGTTAATGTGGCAGGTCAGCAGATGTTCATTCCTGTTTGAGTCCCTCTCACCTCTGATGTTCCACCTTGGTTTTCAGCAGACTTTATAAGATAACCATGTAAGCAGCCGAACTAGACTACTCACTGTTCCCCAGATAAGCCTCCTGCCTCTGCTCCCACCTAGGTCTCTTCCACCTATCTTCCTGCACCCCTCCAGTCTGCAGTTAAAACCTCCCCCTCTTACTACCACCTAGCTCCAGTGGAACCTTCCACAAAGCCTTACAGGATTTCCCTAGCAACAACTAATATCTCCCTTTTTTTAAACTGCTAATGTTCTTTATCTGTAATATTATGGCCAGGGCCTCTGTGAGCTGGTGTTAGGTTTTGTACTGCATAAGAATCCCAAATCTAAGGGAGTGCCATCCACATTGCAGACACAGCCTAAGCTTCCATTAATAATGGGTTACAAATATATTTTCATTGTACTTAAATTCTTCCTGAATGTTTACATTTTTATTTGTAAGGTGGATTGAGGAAGTAAGTCTGTTACATCATTGCATCATCCTCAGAAATGTTGCCTACCTTGTACCACGGCTCCAGAGGTATTAGCACAAAAGAATTTGCTTTCTATTTGGAGAGATGCGATGTTCACATAGAAATGAAGACTAATACTAAGTAGCTTATGCCAAGTAGCTGGCAAGGCAGTTGAATTGAAGTGCCAGGAGAGCTAAGGAAAAAGCAATGACCAAGTGCTGGATAGTCAGGAAGTCTTCTTGAGGAAAATAATTCTGGAGTTAGACCTTGAAGATGGGGTAATAGAAAAATTATTAACATTTAATTGTTCTGAAACTATCTTTGGTTCTCATATTTGAAATTTGTTCACATTAATTTATATTCCATCCATGTGTTTTAAAAAGGCATGATCTTTTTAAGTCTTTGGTTGAAAAGAAGTCCCATCGCCTAACCTTTTTAACTGGATGAAGTTAAGGTTCAAATTCAGGCAATAATTTATCTTTCCACTTGTCTTTAAAATTATTGACTTTTATACCATATGATCAGATGGAATCAGAATTCTCAGACATTATTTTGAATTCTTTGTCACTTGATTTATGACTTTAGACTTTGTAATTTCATGGGCTTGTGGAAAATATGCTAGACTGAATTGAATTAGGGTTGAATTAGGTATTTGATAAAAGCTTGACAGCTAGTCTCAGTTATCAGATGTTTGATCTTGTGCAAAATTCCACGAATTTCTGGGCCTCAGTAAAATGAAGATATTAAGAGGTTTGCTATCTACCTAACGAGATTAAATATGAAAGTAAAAGGTTACATGTTAAGGATTTTAAAGGAGAAAACCACAACTCGTTGTAGTTGTCTGGATCCCGTTTGCCAATTACGTTACAAAAGTATGTTAGAGGTGTAATGGTTGTAGATTTTATTAGCATCAGCCGTACTGGTTATTTCTGTTTTATGCTACATACTAAACTGGTATTGAGGGAGAGGAAAGTTACCTAGTAAGTCTAAGATGGGTGTGGCCCCTGGAAGGAACGGCCTTACCTTCTTGTTGGAGAAAAATGACACAGATATATTAATCAGTTTGGGAACAATGAAAGATGAAGTAATATAGTAAACTATGTATAGACAACCAGAGCATAAGATGTGTTGGAAGATGTAAGTGCTAGAGAAATTTTATGGGAGTGAGGAACATCGTTGTCAGGAAGCACAATTTTTTCTTTTTTTTTTTTTTGAGGAAGTTGGGCCCTTAGCTAGCATCCGTGCCCATCTTCCTCTATTTTATATGTGGGACGCTTGCCACCGCACAGGTTGACAAGTGGTGCATAGGTCTGCACCAGGGATCTGGGCCCACGGACCCTGGGCCGCTGAAGTGGAACATGGCAGCTTAACCGCGGTGCCACCGGGCCATCCCCAGGAAGCACAATTTTTAAAAGCCATATGGCTTTTTATGCTACAAAACAGTTAATGCTTTCCATAAAGTATACGCTTTTTGTTTTGCTTTTATATTTTTTTAATGAAGCCCTTGATAACAGACCATTTATAAAATAGAAAGTCGATCAAGGTTAATGTATTATAAGTTTACAGCTGGATAAATAAGTTTCTATTGAGATTTCCTAGCCTTCCGAAGACAGTATTTAAAATTCACTTGGCAAACACTCCTGAAGGATTTTAGGCTCTGAAAGACTATAAAGTTTCTAGGAATGCAGCCATATCTCTGCAATAGATTATTAAAAATGGCATATGCTCAGCATTTAATATATAGTGTTTTTTATCTTGCAGATACTTGGTAAATAATTGCTAACTCATTTAGCAGGGTTATAAAGGAAGTGTAAATAATTTCCAACTATCTCTTGGAAAATGTCATGTGCCCTGATCATTTGGACTTTGTCCATCTTTAGGCAAGTATGAGCTATACAAGGAAACTCACACTTGTTCAAATAACGTTTTTCTCCCAGGAAAGTTTACTTTATATTTATCAAGGCAAGCTTCAGTCTGCATAAACAGTCACACAGGATAGTTTGGAATGTGTCAGGCAAGACAACACAGCTGTGCATCTGCTGGAACCCAGTGTTAAATTTTCAAAGGCTTCTTGTCCCTTAGTGGACCGTAAGAGATGTGCCCGGCATGAGAAGGGGAAAGTGGTGAATGGATGAGTAGTACCAGGACGTGTCTGAGAGGAATATAAAGACCCATTATTATCCTCTCCTTCTGGTTGCTGCTGCAGGACTTCCTAGGAGTAGAAAACAGTGGAATGCTTTTGTTTTGCTTTGTTTTTTAAAAGAGTGGGTTGATCTTAAAAAGGACTCACATTTTTAATACTGAAAACATTTCTTTTCCTTTTTTTTTTTTTTTTGAGGAAGATTAGCTCTGAGCTAACTGCTGCCAATCCTCCTCTTTTTGCTGAGAAAGACTGACCACGAGCTAACATCCATGCCCATCTTCCTCTGCTTTATATGTGGGATGCCTACCACAGCATGGCTTTTGCCAAGTGGTACCATGTCCGCACCCGGGATCCAAGCTGGTGAACCCCCGGCCACCGAGAACCGGAACGTCTGAACTTAGCTGCTGTGCCACCAGGCTGGCACCCCCCCCCCCATTTTTTTTTTTTTTTTTAGGAAGACCTGAACTAACATCTGCTTCCAGTCCTCTTTTTGCTGAGGAAGACTGGCCCTGAGCTAACATCCGTGCCCATCTTCCTCTACTTTCTTATTTTTTTTTCCAAAGATTTTATTTTTCCTTTTTCTCCCCAAAGCCCCCCGGTACGTAGTTGTGTATTTTTAGCTGTGGGTCCTTCTAGTTGTGGCATGTGGGATGCCGCCTCAGCATGGCCCGATGAGTAGTGCCATGTCCACACCCAGGATTCAAACAGGCAAAACGCTAGGCCGCCGCAGCAGAGCATGGGAACTTAACCACTCGGCCACGGGACTGGCCCCTTCCTCTACTTTCTATGTGGGACGCCTGCCACAGCATGGCTTGCCAAGTGGTGCCATGTCTGCACCCAGGATTCGAACCGCGTGCTGCCAGAGCAGAACGTGTGAACTTAACCGCTGCACCACCAGCCGGCCCCTGAAAACATTTTTTATGGGCCAAAACTTGAGCCTATTGTTTGCTTATAGATCTTCGAAGTAAAGCAACTAATAATTTAGACAGAGGTCGGCAAAGTTTTTCTGTATTGAGCCAGATAATAAATATTTCAGGCTTTGCAGATCATAGGTCCGTCTCTGTCACAACTACTCAGCTGTTCAACTCTGCCAGTGTAGTGCACAAGCAACCAGAGACAATGTGTAAATGAACGAGTGTGTCTGTGTTCCCATAAAACTTTATTTACAAAAACAGGCAGCGAGCCACATTTGGCCTGTGGACTTTTAAGTTTCCCAGCCCGTTTTAGAGATACACTGGCATCCTTTGTGTTTGCTGAAGACATATTTTTCAGATCCTTATTCCGTCTCTAGGAGGCTCGGCCCCAGCCTAACTGATGTGAGCCTAGATATTAAACTAACAAGAGTCAGGTCTGCTTCCACAGGCTTGATAGTTATCAGGCTGAGGAGAAAATGGAAATAGAGAAAATCTGGAAAAGACATTGTCTTTCATATTAAAGAGCTAGACATCTAGACACGTTCTATCTCATTACCCAATTTTCCCCTTCTTTATAGCACTTACCACCATCTAAACTTGTCCGATTTGCGATGGAAACCTTTATATGATATGGTCAGGACTGGTAGTTGGTCAGTTAATCAATGATATAAGGAAATATTTTTTAAAATACCTGCTTTAAACTTTTTTTAAAACTTAAAATATATAAATATACATTGCTTTACTAATCTTTTGAGGAAGGTCCAAGGCTTTTTCTTAGCATTTGGATCTTCTGATTAGAATTCTGCTTCATCTATCTTGATAAATTACATCCATACGCATCGCCTGCATTTCCCAATGTATTTCTTTAAATTGGCTGAGAACTTAGGCACATGAAAAACAGTTTGAATGAAGAATCCTTCTAGATTTTTATACTTCTGAAAACCAAAATTTTACAGTTGTTGTATGTACCCTAAGTCAACGGTAATGTTTAGCAAATTAATTGAGCCTTTTTAAAGCGTTCAACTGTTTTCCATTCAGTTGGATACATATATAAATACTTATAACCCTTGAACACTTTCTAAATATGAAGCTTTTTTCGAGCTGCTAAAAATTTGTGAATTCATTTATCAGATCACATTCTTCTGTGACAAAAGGACCTGAAGCAATATGAGACTCAGATGGATTGGGGAGAGGAGAGTGTGGCTGGGATGAGACACACTGGCAGGGAAGGGTAGAAAGCACCAAAGGCAGACTTGCACTGGAGCTCAATTTTGCCAAGTGGCAATTCTATATGAATGAGAAATCAATAACGGGTTTTTAAGAGAAAGAAAGCATGTTTAAGAGTATATCTCTAACCTTTAAGGGGGCATTGTCCCATTTTCCCAAAAAATATCTTGAAGTGCTGTTTTCTAGACAGAATTCTAGAATGCCTGGATAGCCCACGGTTTCACCTTAGAATAGGTGTGCTTTTCTTCTCTTATGCTATTTTGTTTCTTCTCTTATTTGATTTTGTTGAGACTGTCTAATGCAAACATCTGTGTCCTGTTTCATCTAGGAAGCTTGTAAAACCTGGCCCTAGAGGATTGCAAGCCTGTCTCAGGGCCGGTATGCTGTGAGTGGTAGGGCATGAGATTTCAGGCAGAAGGAACAAAAGATCTCAAAACATCAAGGGGGGTTAGAATTCCTCATTCACCAAATATCGAGTGTTTTCCTGGAGAGGCAGTGTGCTCTGGGCTGGGAGTCAACACTGGGCAAGGCATGGTCTTAGTCCCAATTCTGTTGTTATATAAATCACTGTTCACCACCTGTGAACCTATCATAAGTCATATTTTTCTCCTATAAGTATTTCGCTTACTTTCTTCTGCTTCTAGGCCAACACATATGAAAAGTACTGGCCATTTTACCAGAAGCGTGGAGGCAACTATTTTCCCAAAGATCACTTGAAAAAGGCTGTCGCTGAAATTGAAGAAATGTGCAATATTTTAAAAATGGAGGGAGTGACAGTGAGGAGGCCTGACCCCATTGACTGGTCCGTGAAGTATAAAACTCCTGATTTTGAGTCTACGGGTAAGTGATGTCAGATACCCAAACTGCTAGTGTCTTAATTTTTAATTCTTTCTTAATGTGTAAGGAGAAAACTCAGATAATTTCTCAGAGATTCTTTTGTTTTCATAATCCTTTGAAACTTCAAAGATTATTTAGGAAAAAATTGGTTCTTTTTGATATGATTGAGATGTATATATTCTAAACTCCATTGTAAATCGAAATCTCCTCGAAAGCAGCAGTTTTTCTGAACTTTATGATCATTTCCTTACATAAGAACAGTGGATTCCATTTAATTTTCCTCAAGAACAGAAGAGTGGAAAAGAAACATTTCTAGTTTATTTCTAACTGACGTTGCTACACAGTCTTCTTGTGCCTGAGGTCGGTGTTCTAATTTATAGTTCTAGAAGTGATCCTTGGCCCAATTTTTATTTCCTGATACTGATATTCCCTGAAGAACTCTGTTTCTATGTAGCAAGAAAGGAGCTTACAGAAGGTGAAAACTTGGTGGTTCTAGATCTTTTTGAACAGGGACTTGATTGCTTCAGTCTTTTTTTCTTTTCCTTTTTTTTTGGCTTGGCTTCACCATCCCCACACAGAATTCATGTTACCTGTCTGGTATGTATCATTCCATATTTTTTTCCGTTTGCACATAGTTATATATGTGCACACACATATAGGTTTTCTGTACATTTTTTTTACCAAAAAATGGCATTGTATTATGTAGATTTTTTTTGTCTTGGAAATTATCATTACTGAGGTTCCTCTGGACCTTTTTGGTCTGACAGGTTTATATGGTGCGATGCCTCGAGACATCCTGATAGTTGTGGGCAATGAGATCATCGAGGCTCCCATGGCATGGCGTGCTCGCTTCTTTGAGTACCGCGCATACCGATCAATTATCAAAGACTACTTCCACCGTGGTGCCAAGTGGACAACGGCTCCTAAGCCCACAATGGCTGATGAGCTTTATGACCAGGTGAGTCCCTAATTATAGGTGAGCTTATTAGTAACTCTTCTAGATAATCCACAGAGAGTGGGATAGAAATTCACTGATACCTTGTATTTATTATGCATATCAGAAACTGAGAGCATCACCTACTTTTAAAGAAATGATTGTTTTATGATGAAAACAAGAGTAAATAATATTGTAATAGAAATAATGATTGCTAACACTTACTTGGTGCTTACCATGTGCCAGGTCTTGAGCTAAGTGCATTATTACATCCTCAGTCCTGTTTATTCTTTACAGCAACCCCATGAGGGGGTAGCATCGTTCCATTACAGGGAGGAAAACTTGCCTGAAGGCGCACAGCTATTCATTGGTGGAGACAGAAAGTCATTAGGCTGAACTCCATTCTCTTCTTCTAGAAAAAGAAGTTGGTCTACAGGCCAAACTCATAGTAAAAGATGTGTATGTCTCTTATAGGATCACCTGCTATTTGATTATTTATAAAAAGAATCAAAAAATCAAAATTTGTTATTGGGATCTGAAGACAGAAATAAGTAATGCCATCATTCCACCACACCCAGTCAAATCTGGCAGGGGCTACATGGCATCTCATTTTATGTATGAGTTAGGCTCAGGACCAAATTTCTTTTCTAAAAGAACAGAATGACTTCATCCTGTTGACTTTCAGTATTGTAGATAGCTACATAAGTCAATGTATGGGTCATGGAATATTTTCAGAATCATTACTGCCTCTGTACCACTTGCTTCTAAGGATCGGGAAATTGCTGTCATGCCTAGTTGTTTTTCTTTTTCATTGTTGGTTGGTTTGTTTTGGTTTGGTTAGCATGGACCTGCATCTTCCCCATGCGTGTTTTAGTCTAAAACAGGGTAGTAGTATTTTGGGAAATGATGATGTTGAACTAATTTTCTTAGTAATGGATGCCCTATAAATAATTTCCTCATGAACCAGTGCATTGTGTATGTGCATTCTTGTTCCAACCAGGATTACCCCATCCGTTCTGTAGAAGACAGACACAAATTGGCTGCTCAGGGAAAATTTGTGACGACTGAGTTTGAGCCATGCTTTGATGCTGCTGACTTCATTCGAGCTGGAAGAGATATTTTTGCACAAAGAAGCCAGGTTGATAAAGGCTGCCTGTGAAATTTTGCACTCTATTACTTTACTTTTTATTTCCAAATTAAAATATTTTGATCCTAAAGATTTTTAGTTATCTAAACATAGAACCAAATCTTTATAGATTTATGTTTTCCTTTTATTCTCAGGTTACAAACTACCTGGGCATTGAATGGATGCGTAGGCATCTTGCTCCAGACTACAAAGTGCACATCATCTCCTTTAAAGATCCCAATCCAATGCATATTGATGCCACCTTCAATATCATTGGACCTGGTCTTGTGCTTTCCAACCCTGATCGACCATGTCACCAGGTAAGCGAGTTTTTAGGACTCTTGAAAAGCGATAGCGTCTAGCAACTGAAATAGTTGCCATTTTTATTTTAATTACTTCCATGGTTCCTAGTGGTTCTAAATGACAAATTCAGCAATGCTCAACATTATTGTGATCAAACATTGGGTTGTTTATGGTATGTTTACTACAACACGTCCAACACTCACAAATATATGTTGTAACCATGATCATTAGTATAGTGGCATCAGACTTTGCCTGCCTGCCATTGTCAAAGGCTCAAGTTTATGCATTTGTGTGTGTTTTTATCAAACAGAGTGGTATGATTTCATAATTTGCAGCCGAAGTTCCACAGCAGCTGAGTTACAAGTACAATGATCTCTGCATGTCTAGGGCAGTGCCCGTGGGCAGTGGGTATCTTATTCTCTCCAGTAGGTCAGGCCCCCTCAGCCAGCCCCACCCAGCAGGGGGGAGCAGAGCCGCTGCACTGCAGCTGGTCCATCCCCATCACCTGTGGTCTCCTACTTCCACCTGCTGCGCCTACTTCCCTTTGGGCAGTGAGTCATTTTGCATTATTTGCTAGGCTGCAGGACACCTTTTTAAAATCACTATTTTACCATGTCACTGTTTATTTCTATCCCATATATTTAGACTCAATGACCAAGATTACTTATTCATTTCATTTTAATGTAATTTCTTGATATCCTAAGTGGCTATGTGAACATAGGGATGGCTGAGTTATAGTAGGTCACTAAGGACAATTATGGTTCCTTGGGAGTACATCCCTAACATTTGTCTTTATACCCTGGTGATAGACACCCAGTGATGGACTATGAAGTAGATGGACTGTGGATTTGACATAGTCACATTTTTGTTTTCTTATAACTAAATACGTAGGAAATATTTTCATTTTCTTTAATGATAATTTCTCAAGGAAAGCATGTTTGGCATTTTAAAATCTCTGAGACCTGAGAAAAGCATGAGGATATTTTTAAAAGCTTTAACATTTCTGTTACTTTTTAACTTCAATCTGGTAGTCTGAGGATTTTATGTATATTTTTAATTAAGATTCAGACAAAATCATCCAAATGTTTTGAAAATTTAATTTCTTTATTTTGGCAGTTGAGAAGACAGCTTCTCAAAAAGAATTATTAGTCATAAGGGCTATCAGAAACCAAGAATAAGAATAATATATGTAGATTTAAGTCTCTTTGGGTTTTGGGGGGTCTTTTGGTCTTGCAGATTGATCTTTTCAAGAAAGCAGGATGGACCATAGTGACTCCTCCAATACCCGTCATCCCAGATGGTATGTTTACTTTTATATACTCACAGACTAAAATGATTCCTTCAGTGACCGAGGATCTTTCACCTACAGATAGCAGCCCAAATTTTCGCAATTTAGAGAAAAGATTTCTCCCGTAAGGAGGAAACTGGCACTTGGGACTTGTGCATACTAGAACAAGGCTGGGCTTATGTTCACAACCTCTCCTTCCCTAGAAAATGAGAGTGAGAAGTTGGGAAAAGTCGGTATAAAACAACATCACATAAAGCAAGAAATGACTTTTTAAAGAAAACAAGGTGAAATCCAGATGTACAATGAGTATAGATTGATTCATAACATTTATAGATAAATTGTCTTAAGGTTGAAATAAAATTTTACAAGGGAAAGTGAACTACTGAAAGAATTGAGCTGTCATTCTAATAGTCTTCGCTTTCACATTCTTGCTTTAGACAACGATAGCAGACATGATTTAACAGTTGTTGCTGTTTTTAGATCACCCGCTCTGGATGTCATCCAAATGGCTTTCCATGAATGTCTTAATGCTAGATGAAAAGCGTGTTATGGTGGATGCCAATGAAGTCCCGATTCAAAAGATGTTTGAAAAGCTGGGTATGTACAATAAATAAAACATATTGTCGTACAAGAAAATATCAAAGGAGAAGAAGTGAAGAAAGGACATGCTAAGTCTGATGTATGATATATCTAGTTCAATTTCCATTCCTTTTAGAGGTACCAAGTTATTATTTTGTAGATGCACAATATTTTTGTTTTCAACAATCATAACCTCAAAAGGTTGGAGATATATGCCAGGCTCCTTAGACATCCCCTTAGCAGTAAGTTTATCAGTCTCCTGTGACTTCTCTAGCCTCCTGGTGCCCATGTGTGGAGATGAGCATATAGAGTATTCAGCCCTTCCCCAAATGGGAAATTGTTGAGGGTCCTTTAAAAGTAATTTAATTGTCATTACATATTTTAAAGGACTTATAAGAGTCCAGATACAGAAGTGAGTTATTAGTGTGATAAGCATGGTGAACAAAGGAATGAAATGGCAGTAGAGGATGTCACTAAGTCATTCAGCTTTGAGCTAAGAGGCAGAACAGGTATCTACTTGAGTAGGAGTTTGCTTACCCTGATATTCAAAATTTAGACTAGTTATTCTAGTATTATTGAGAAAAGTGTTGAAAGAAAGGGTTTTCACATGGCTCTTATGTAGAGTATAGAAGCATGTCTGTTTATCACTCAGCATACTTGACATATCCTAAGTGCCAAGGAAAGCCAGGTATGCTTGTTGAAATGGAGTCATGTTTTGATCTATGTCTTATATTTCAGGTATAGTACTGAGAAGAAATTACTTGACCCTTTGACACATCCCTCCTTAATGTACTATCAGTTTAAAAGGATTGGCCTGTCAATTTTAGATTGACCCTTCATGCTATGCCACTTTTTTTTTCTGTTTCTCATTAAATAACCCAATTGCTTGGGTTCGGGTTCTTTGTCCATTAAGATTTTATTGTTTCTCAACTTAAAATCATATTTAAGGGGGCTGGCCCTGTGGCTGAGTGATTAAAGTTTCACATGCTCCGGTTCAGCAGCCCAGGTTCTCAGTCTCAGGTCCCAGGCATGGACCTACTCCACTCATCAGCCATGCTATGGTGGCATCCCATGTACAAAATGGAGGAAGATTGGCACAAATGTTAGCCCAGGGCATATCTTCCTCGCCACAAAAAAAAAATTATTAAGTACCAAATATCTGATTGATAATTTTATTTTTAATAAAGTTTTTTTAGACACAGGGAATTTGTTAAGCAGAGTTTAGCACACAACTTAATTCTCTCCAATTCAGTATTAATATAGCTTTAGCCATCTGAATAAGATAGCTATGTCTATCTATAGAAAACATGCTCATGTTTAAAAGCCTGCCCCTTCTCCCAAGCCCATTCCTTGCCCCTGCCCAAACCCTATTCTTAGTCTTCACACCCCTCATAGTTTTACTTTCTCAAGAAAGTCTTTCCTGATGGCTCCTGCTGCCTTCCCCTCCCTGACTATACCAGTGGACACATCAGTGGCTCTGTAGCTCATCTTTCCCTCAAAATATTAAGTTCCTTGAAGAGAATAGATTTTCTTTTTAAAACCCCATTTTACCAAACACAACAGATTCTTCCTAAATACCATTGGTTGATTGGGCCATGCGCATCATAGCCATGACAGTACAAATGGTGCCAGATTTACTGTCTGAATAGCTTTGGTACCTGTATGCCCACACAACCCAGATATTAACATACGAGCTTTAGTCCATCGTTTCCTTAAGGTGGCCTGGTAAAGTTAATTGTGTTAGGTAAACTCTGCTCATATGTGAGTAGGTAAAGTCAACTTTTCAGGTTGGCTAAATTATACTTTTCCTACTAAATTGGCATGATAAAATTAGAAACAGTCTGACAAAATAGTTAAAGCGTAATTCTAAAAGGGCTTGAAATTTTAGTGCTCGATCATTTTTGAACATTTGACAAATACATCTGCTCATCCAACCTGTTGACTTGCGAATTGTCAATAGAACAAAATAGACTTCAGAGTCCGCTGACTTTCTGGTGAAGGTTTTATATTAGCAGTGGAAGAGATTAGATGAAATATAATTGGTGAAAATAAAATTGAAAGACTATCCTGAGTTGGGGTAGACTTAAGGGTTAGAACCTCAAGATTCCTACCCATCGTTAGGCTTTCCTTTCGATAAGGGCATCTCCAGGTGAGTCCATCTAACTGACCAGGTCTCTCTCTTTCACTGCAGGTATCAGTACCATTAAGGTTAACATTCGGAACGCCAATTCCCTGGGAGGAGGCTTCCACTGCTGGACTTGCGATGTCCGGCGCCGAGGCACCCTGCAGTCCTACTTTGACTGATCAGGCCTGGTGGGGCTTGTGGCTTGGCCTCAAATAAACCTAGGAAGCTTAGGGATAAGGTTCACTCTCTCGCTTTAAAAACTGCATGAACTGTAGTGCTTTAAACAATCATATCCTTAACAGGGGTCTTAAGCCTGGTTTATTTTTATTACTTTTCTTCGATATAAGGAAAATAACTCGTGCTAGGTCTTGCTCTCCACTCCTAAATTTACTATTTGGCTTGAAGCGTAAAAATTTGGTGAATGTGTTCCAAGACAAAAATTAGTCATTTGAGTAACTTGGCCACTAATATTTAACCATCTACCTCTGTTTTTAATTTTCTTTCCAAAAGGCAGCTTGAAATGTTGGTCCTAATCTTCATTATTTTTTTCCTTTTTGCTAGACTTTTGAATGTTTGTATCACTTCTTTTCTCTAAATGAGAGAAAGAATGTACACAGATCTTAAGTAGAACTAGATAATTCTCTCTTTTTCTACTAAGGATTTTGATAACTTTTAATTTTTTGTTTTTAAAAAAATAACAGACTATGCAAACATTTAAGTGAATTTTCCATAAATGTTTTTAATATTCTCATCTCAGCATTGGTGATATTTGCTACTAAAACCTTTTCATACAACTTACCTCATTTCAAGTGATTTATTTGAATATCTTTTTCTTCTCTGTCCAAAACTTTACAGAAATATTTAGTGCAATAGGATATAACTATCAGTTCCTATCCTTAAATTTTGATGTTCAATATCTAATGGGTACGTTGTATCTTTGGTAAACTAAGATTTGTTTACAGATGTGCAAATTATTTAAAATGCAGACTTTAAAAACATTAAAAAAACTAATGGAGGTAAAACCTACATGCGATGTGAAATAATTTTAATGTTGAATATTGCACATGGATTTTTACTCTAATAAACTTTTGTGTTACAGAATGGCTTTTATCAGAGTCTGGCATCAGTCTAATTATTTTAATCATAAGTAAATTATAGGAATGTAGCTCTTGGGACAGAATTCTAATGTTCGGAAATAATCACTATATTCATCCCTAGGAGATAAAAATTTAAAGCTAGTACTTGTACTCAGAAATGTTTAGCAGAGTCAGAATTTATTTATTTATTTATTTATTTATTTATTCACTCAATCAAAAATATCTGAATGTCTTCCAAATATGAGGGACTAATCCTAGGCACCCCCAAAAAAGAAGTCTCCGTTCTCAAGGTGCTCAATGTGTTGACTCATGAAAACTCAGGGGGTTGGGGGAGGTGTGCTTTCAAGAGAGTAATAGGTTTTGACGACGCCATTTCCAACACCTTTAACTCCTTTGTATCCTGGTGTCCTTTTCTGTCCACCACAGAAACCACTGCTACACTTGTACTGAATCCTACTTAAGAGATCTATACAATCGTGTGAATTGGTGCACGCTTAGGGTATATATTCCCAGGCCTAACTACTGCTCAGCAATTCTATGACATCCCCTCCACATTTTCCCCAGTGGCTATTTCAACCCTTCACTGTGTTCTCTTATCTGATCATATTTTTTCATTTTTCACAGAGAAAATAGAAGTCAGGTGTCACTTCCTTCAGCTTTTCTGCTCCGATCCCCTGTAGATTTCTCTGCATTTGCATTCTCTGGTTAACATTCTTTCTCTCCTTGGCTTTACTAGCTAAGCTTCTAAGGAGAAAAGTCAGGCCTTCATCTCATCACTTGCCTTTACTTCTCAGCCTCTACCAAGAGCCACTTCTCTCACTGCTGCAGGAAGAGAGGTGAGCCTTCTTACCCGGGCAAAGCCACAACTGTCCTCTGAGTCTAACCTTGCTCTCCTCTTTCAGGAACTCGCTGCATCACTTATCGTCTTTCTTGTAACTCCAGCCACTGTGTGTGTTTTCTCTCAGCACATAGTCATGTTCAAAATCATGTTCAAAACAAAAACTATTCCTCTGGCAACTGCATTTTCCCTTAGAGCTAAGCTTCCGGAAAGAATACATATACTATTCCACATTTTCACTTTTATTTAATCGTCAATCTCCTGCTATATGATTTCTGCCTTATCACTGCAAAGTACTAATGATAGCCCTGACCTGACCTCTAAGTGTCATTTCCAGTGGAGACTATTCAGGCCTTACTGACCATTTCTTTGAATGTCTCTCCTCTTGTGGGTTTCTGTGATACACTTTCTCCCATCTCTTACTGATTTTCCAGCTCCTTCACTGGATTGCCTTCTTCCTACCCTTAAGAGGTGGATGTTCACAAGGTCCTGTCCTTGTGCCTTTTCTCCTCACCTAGATCCTCCTGGCTGATCTCATCTGTGCACAGGTCTTCCCCTCCCTCATATCCACTAATAAGTCCCAGGCGTTATGTGGGAGGGGAGGCCCTATGCCTAGTCCTTCTAGTCTAGACCTTATCCTGAGCTCCAGGTCTTGCTCCCTGTGGACATTATCTGGATGTGGAAAGGCATCACAGGCTCAACACAATATCACAGTTGACTCACTTGGCCAAGCCATCCTGTACTCTTTACTCTTCCCCATCTCATCTCGTTCTTTCCATTGACCCTTCGCATTGTGATTAAATAAGATAATTATTTCAACAAAGCTCAATTGAATGATTTAATAAAGTCTCTATTTTTAGATCCTCTGACACTGCTTATGGGTTTGCTCTCTTGTCAAGGTTGTGGAGGAAAACAAGCAGCCTAGTCTCCAACACACAGTTGCCATCAGGTTTCTTCTGTCATTCACCACTCCTGCAACCCGGTGGCTTCTCTGTGATCTGTAGCAGGCAGAAGGCTCACCATCTGCTGCTATGGATGTCAGGTTTCCAGATCACATGCCAACATCTTCAGATTACCACTCTTCCTAGTGAACACCAAGCCCCTTTGTAACTCACTGTTGAAAGGAAACAGCTATGCACATTAGGACAAACCCATTGTTATCAAAAATAAACAATTTCAAATAAAAATATCTAAAATTGACATCGTAGGGCAGGTCTAGTTCCTAGTAAAAAGCATGATATTCCTTTCAGGAATAGCCTTTCTAAAATGAAGCTTATGCATCTGACCGCTATAGTGTGTTAACTTATAACTACATAGGAATATCACCCAATAGTTCAGGAGAATGTAAAAATACACCACCTCAGATGTTTTTGGCCAACTTTTGGATGCGTAGAATCTTTTTTTTTCCTTTTGAGAAATTAGAATAATATAAAAAATACTCAGATTCCCATCACTTAGTGCACCTACAGTGACAGTTAAACGAGGTTTGGTTGCTAAAGACTCGCAGGACTCAAAATGACAGTGCTTATAAATCTACAGTTTATTGCGGGAGAAGGATACAGTATAACATGGTAGGGGCTGGCCCGGTGGCGCAGTGGTTAAAGAGCTCACGTTCCGCTTTGGCGGCCTGGGGTTCGCTGGTTCAGATCCCAGGTGCGGACGTGGCACTGCTTGGCAAGCCGTGCTGTGGTAGGCATCCCACATATAAAGTAGAGGAAGATGGGCATGGATGTTAGCTCAGGGCCAGTCTTCCTCAGCAAAAAGAGGAGGATTGGCAGCAGTTAGCTCAGGGCTAATCTTCCTCAAAAAAAAAGTGTAACAGTATAGCATCAGCACTAAAGTAAGGATATGTATCTCAGCCAAAGGCTGCTTCACAGCAGAAGGTCCAGGGCAGCCAAGCTCAAGCTCCATTTGTTATCCTCCTGTAAGGGCCCTCTATACACACTTTCTCAGATCAGGAACTACCAATGTGGGCATGCACCATCTCAGAACCAGGGAGCCCAAGATGGAGTCTCGATCAGGATTTCTCATCCCCTGTTGGTCATGTGGGCGTTTACTTGCTTTATAACTAGCTCCAATGACAGAATCCTCTGGGCATCTCAGACCTGGTGCAAATCATCAGTTTCACTGTTGTCAATAAATGATGCAAACAGCTTGCTCTGAAACTCCTCCTACCCATGGTTACAAAGCCGCTCTAATAATCAGTAGACTTTGCACCTGGACCAGAGGTCAATGTCATGTGACTACATTTCTTATTTTAGTAAAACAGCTCAGGCCAATTTCAGGCCTGCAGGAATTAACTCTCACAGCACAGTCCATCCCCCTGATCCACCATCAAGGCCTTTTTATGACAGAATGATCCCTCTCAGTTTGAAAGCCATTACTTGTCTGACAATATCATATAATCAAACAGACAGTCGAAATCTACGTGCATATCCCACACATTTGTAATGACCCGTGAGGGGTTGGGATGGATTTAAACAGCTGAACCATCCAAAAATTCCAGGGTGAACTTTCTCGTATTTCTGAACTAACTTTACAATTTGTTTGTCTGCCTGTTCTACAGCCGTCAGTATTTTATGGTGTGTGTCTGTTGAGGGATTAGGGAACTGTAATGGACCTATCATTGCTCTGGTGAAAATTTTCTTCAGACCAAGTCTCCCCAGGAATAATATCCTAAGGGTGTTTTAATTCAATCTTGCAGCACATTTGATCATCAAAATCAGTAAGTTTTATTAGCTTCTACAATATTAATTTTACCGAATTATCTGGTGGAGATCTACCTTTAATTTCCCTCATGTTACGTTGCAAGACACAATGCTGTAATTTTGTGGACCAGCCCTTCAATCACTACCCCTCATTTTTAAAAGCAGATGTTTTAATTGTCCATTCTAGTTTTCTATTAACCCATGACTTTGAGGGGGACAATATGATACTTGAACATGATGTTTCTTTGCCCATTGTTTCATGGGATATAGGCAGTGAAGTGAGTGTCTTGATCTGATCTGATGAAATGGAACCAGGAAAGCCAGACCGGATGGGTGTATGTATATAGTTGTTGTTGTCCTTTGATGGTGTTAGCATCATTGGCGTTAGCCATTGGTGTGGGAAGCCAAACCTAGAATATGTATCAAGTCCTGCCAATATTTAAGTCAAAATGACAGGTAAAGGGACAGTGTAAGCTACCTGCCAGCTATATGATGGACCTTTCCTCCTGGAAATACTTCTCCAAAAGAACTGAAAATCCTGCCTTTCCTCTTGGCAAATAGGGCAATTTTTATTATGAGTTTGAGCATCAAGGGGCCAAATAACAGCTGGCAAATCCTGCTCAGGAGGCTCCATAGTCAGTCCTAGGGGAAAAGAGATTGATTACTGGCTTGTGAATACAATGAGTTCCTCCTGGGAGACTCCCAGTAGTGTGCTGTATTTTCCATTTCCACTTTAGGATGGCACTTCTTTGGGCATCGTCCTCCTTGTTGGAATACTTTTCTAACATCACCCCTCACATGCCTGGTATTTCTGACCTTAATACAATCCTATATCCTTCAGTTATTGGGGTTGTTTCATAAATGATCAATAATAAGCCTGTAACAGTCTTTCAAAGGAGTATACTAGAGAGGAGCATTTGGTACTTTTCTAGTTCAAAAGCCCAAAGGTCACCATTGAGCAGTGGCTATGGGTTTTTGCCAGAGACTTTGGTTGGCATGAGTGCAGGCAGCCAATATTTGTAATTATATTTCGTCATTAGGATCATATGGTCCTAACGGGATAATTTGGGCTACACCCGTCTGCGGTTCCAAGAAGCCTTGTTGCTGTTTAAGCCTTAATCAAATATAACCTTTTTCTGGGTAACTTTATGGATTGAAACTAACGGTATCCTTAAGTGAGGGATATGATTTTCCCAAAAGCCAAATAGGCCCACTAGATATTGAGTCCCTAGTTTAGTCGGAGAGGTGGGAAGCAACAACAATTTGTTCCTAGTTGTCTGCAGTATGCCACAGCTTGCTCCAGCTCATGAAATCCCCCCAAATTTCACAGTCTGCGTGGGGCCCTGAGTTTTTTTGGAGTTAATCCATCATCCCCAATCAGTCATATCATTTATGACCTTAGTATCGTCTCTTTTAGCTCAACCCTCAGTTTTTGGGACAAGCATAATATCATCAATGTAGTGTATTAGAAC